CTCCTGTTTATATTGCGTCCGGCCTCTGTGCTGTGCTTCTTTTTTCGCGTCACCCCTGCCTACTCTGCCTTTTTGGGTAGCTTGATCTCCCTTTTGCTGTTGCTCTTGCTATTAGTCTATATATCTGGCTGTCTGCCCATCTGCCGCCTCTTTGTTCTGTTGCCTTCATTACTCCCATGCCCTGGTGCGTAGTGTCTGGTGCTGGTACGTTACCCTTTGATTTTTTAGGCAGGGGTGTGGGAAGCGTCCTCCTTCTTATTTCTGTATTTAGTTTTGTTTTGTTTTGTTTTGATCGGTTTCCAAGGGCTCTTTTCTCGGCCGGTCGGTGCGGTAGCTGTTCTTTTCTTTGTATCATTTTTTTTATTTCTCCGAGTGGTTTGCTTATAGGGTAGCAACCTGGAATGTGCGGACATTGGCTGTAAACGGGGCCAATGGATACGGGCGAGCCTACAGCGTTCTACACGAGGCAGCGAGACAAGACGTATCGGTGGTAGGAATGCTGGAGACATGGAGGGCAGGTCGAACGGAATTTGCAGCAGCGGGTTTCCGGGTGTTCTGCTGTGGCACGGAGACTGGTGGAGCCCATGGTGTGGGGATAGATGTCAAAGAGTCACTGTGCAAAACATCCACGCTCACTACGGAGTTTATTGACGAACGCCTTATGGCCATGAGGTTTAGGTTGGCAGGCCACCGTGGAGCGGTCAACTTCGTAGCAACGTATGCTCCAACCGAACCTTCAACCGCAGACAGCAAGCGCGTGTTCTGGGGAAGACTTGACAGTCTCGTGCGGAGGGTCCCTTCCAAAGAATGTGTGTATGTATGTCCTGATGGACGCCAATGCGCGGACGGGAGATAGGTTGGACGGAGGGGACGGAAGGGTAATAGGAATGTACGGGCGTGATGAGCTCAACGACAATGGCATGCTACTGTTGAACTTCGCGCAACGGAAAAGAGGCTAGCTCTCACGAACACCTTCTTTGAGACACGCAAGGGCGGAATATGGCACACATACAACGGTGTGTCGGGAACCGATTGCAAGCGCCTTGACTACATCCTGACAAGGCAGGCGCACCACGGCCGAGTATCTAACGTGGTTGTCACCCCCCAGCCGGTTCGCCCAGTCAAAGCAGACTCAGACCACAAAATGGTAGTAGCCACCGTCAACCTCGGTGGCAGGCTTGCCCACAACCGTGCAGTCCGGACTACATAAACCGAAACAGAAGCAATTCAACCGACGGGAATTGCAGTTCGAATCAGCACGGTGTGCGGTGACTAATCGGTTCCTCCTCAACCTCGACACACGACCGGACCAGCGAACAACCACCGCCGCGGAATTGGCGATCGACTTTACTAATGCTCTCCTCGAAGCAGCGCGGACGACCCTAGGGGAGGAACCGCGGAGACGCCGCACGCAGGAGTGGTGTGAGACCCCAGAGACGAGAGCAGTGCCGAAGGAGGCCCTTACCAAACGGCGGGAAGCGCGCCGAGCGATGAGGGGCAATTGGAACTCAGCAACGTGGAGGGCTCTGAAAGCAGCGTGTAAGGGAGTGGCTACAGCAGTCGAAACGGGCATTTATGCCCACCTGGACGGATATGTGACTGAACTCGAAGCAATCTACAAAGAACGCGACATGCGAGGACTGTACCAACACCTCAAGAGCTCAGTGGGCTTCAGCGGGAGACAAGCGGGGGGACAGCAGTTCGTCGCGGATGAGAACGGCGTGTTGCTCCGGAACAGGGACGACATCCTCCAGCGGTGGGCGAGATTCTTCAGCACCCTGCTCAACCCAGACATCATCGAACGAGTGACGCAGCATCCAGCGACACGTGACACTCAACGGTTGGGAGAGGTGCCAGAACTCGAGGAGGTGAAACGGGCAACGAAAGGCCTCAAGAACTGGAAGGCACCCGGCCATGACTCCCTCCTTGCCGAGTTGCTCAAGACCGATGACGACGAACCCTTCGTCCTGGGGCACCTCTATACCATCCTCGTAAAGGTGTGGAACGGAGGAGATATTCCGCAAGAGTGGAAGGATGCAACCTCAAGGTGCTGTAACAACTACAGGGAGGGGGATTTCGCTACTATCTCACGTAGGCAAGGTCCCCATCAACATCATAACCACCCGTCTAAGCACCTTCTGCAAAGCCAACAACATCCTCCCGGAGGAACAGTGCGGATTCCGACCCGGGCGATCCACCGTCGACATGTTGTTCGTCGTGCGCCGCCTCCAGGAGCTGGGGCGGAGAAAGAAAATACCGCTCTACATGTGCTTCGTCGACTTGAAGAAGGCGTATGATTCGGTGGACCGAGAGATGCTATGGAAAGTGCTGGCCAGGGCCGGGATTCCCGCGAATCTGATCAAAGTCATCCGCCAATTCCACGATTGAATGCGGACCCGGGTGCTTATGGACGACGGAGAACTATCGGGCTGGTTCTTCGTGACACAGGGCGTGCGACAAGGATGGGTGCTATCCCCCCTGCTGTTCAACATCTTCTTCGCCGAGTTCCTCGAGGTCGTTGTCATCCGATTCAGCGAGGATGATGTTGTTCTGCGGAGCCTGGTGTGCTTGGAGGAGGGGAAGACGGAAGCGGGGGGGGCGGAGGAGACACCCCTTGACCGAGTACGGAAGGCAGTATGGGGGATGCTATATGCCGATGATGCCGGCGTCGTATCGAGGTCTGCAGAAGGACTGGCGAGAATGATGACCATCATCGTTGAGGTGTTCAGGGAGTTCGGGCTGACGGTATCGTAGAAGAAGACGGAGACACTCCTGATGCGCGCGAAGGACAAGGCGACTACAACACCACAGCCCCCCCCGCCTCCACCGCTGACCATCGAAGCCACGGGACAGAAATACGCCCAGACGACCGAGTTCCGGTACCTCGGTGGCCTCGTCAACGAACATGGCAACCTCACCCGGGAGATCAACTAGTACCTTCATATGTCCGTACTGATCCAACACTTGACGCGGTCGATTCCCGTGGTCACAGGCTAACTTACTTCTCTGAGAGTGGGTGCAGGGAAGGAGTGCGAAGTAACAGAAGGAGTGGGAGGAGCGGGCCGGGGTAGCCATCGAGAGTGGAGGTAGAAAGGAGTGTATTTTCGTATTTTCCGGACCTTTAGAAGGGTTTATCGGAACCGGAGCACACAACACCGTTGCCGGAATCGGAACAAACAACAGACCATTCCGACGCGAGAGCGGTGAAGAGAGAAAAGCAAAATTTAAAGACAACGAGGATATACACACACACACACACATCGAGAGGAGAGAGAGAGAGAATACGGTACCAAGGTGATAGGAGGTGAGTGCATACCGTGTGAAGGTGTAAGAAAAAAAAAAAATGTACAGCAGTAGCAGACGGAACCGGAACAAACAACACACAATTCCGACGCGAGAGTGGTCAAGAGAGAAGGTGAAAATGAAAAGAGAATGTGGATAGACAGACCGTCAGAGACATAGAGAGAAGGAGGAATGGAGGAGAAGGATGCACACACAGAGAGGGCGGCCGTACTTCGAGTGGAATGCGTGGTATGATGGTACAGAGCGGGGTGACAGCAGCAGGCGAGAGAGATAAAAGCGGAAGATAAAAGTGGGAAGTCCACCAAAGTGCCACATTTCCAGAGGAAATGCTGTTCTGTGTGAGCCCGAGAAGACCGGAATAGAGCGCTCACAGAAGCCGAAAGAAGCGAAATGAAGCGTTCTCAGAGAAAACTTAAATTGTAAGAACTACAGCACAATCCGTACAACAACTGCCTTGTCTGTCTTTCAGACAACCGGCTGCTTGGAGGGACGAATTCGATTTACGACAGGTATTCACACACAACCGACCGAAAAAAGGTTACACCAGCACCAGCACCAGCACCATTTCGAAATTGTTTTCCATCAAGGGATGGAGCCGTTGCTTGTTTCTTTTTTTATTGTTTTCTTCATATGACCCCAACCGATCCATCTCTATCTACGAAAAGAGTCTGTCTAAGATCGATTTGCAACGAATTCATAACGTCAGAGAAGGTTTCCTGTATTTTCCGATGTTTTTCTATTTTTGAAGCATTATTCTTTTCATTTTCTTAATGTAGCATATGCATATGCATATGACGCAACGAATACATCTGATCTCTATCTGCAGAAAATAGTCTTGAGGTAGATTCAGCAAGGAATTCAGAGCGTCAGCGAAAGCTACATGTTTTTTTAGGGGGGGGGGGTTGATCGCCTCCCGGTTCGAGATTTGGGTCTTCTCCTGCTCTGCTGCGGTAATTTATCTATCTATTGTTCTAGAAAGAAAGAAAGAAAGGCGTTCCCCTCTTTCGGTAGTTGGCTTGTGACCACGGAAGGTGTCCGAGTCAGTACCAGTACGGATACAATATCAGAAGGCACTGAGCGGAGACCGGAACGGTTTGTATTTATTGAATGTGAAGCTGCATCCAGCCAAGGGTGCACGAAAAGTATTATCCCGCACACGTGCGCGGTACCCTTGGGAGAGCCGAACTTGAAAATATAAAAACGTCTTGGGCTCTTCCCCTTGTGTTGTGTTGTCATTTTCATCTAATGTACGAAGTAAATATCAGTGAACACTTCTAACCCGTGCGCAGATGAAACGCTTCTGCTGTATGGCACCAAACGGGCCTCAAATCAAATGCGTTAGCGCTACAATCGTGTCGTTGAAGACACCACATGAAAATCATGCAGATCATCCACACCAACTTGCTCGAATATTGTCTCAGTGAAACAAAAAGCAAGCGTGGAATAGCAATTTAGCAATTTAGTGATGCATTAGACTCCCACAGTCAAACCCCCACCGCCAAATCATCCCTGCAAACCGCACCACGCACTTCTGCTCTATGGCGTTCATTCCAGAGACGAGGAGGTTCGTGTTTAACGATCGGGTTGAATTCTTGCTTTGGGTTACCCACGTCCCATTCCGACCCATGCGTTACTCGCTTCATTCCAGGGCCGTCGCCATCCCGGAATTTCACTATTGAGTTGCCTGGGAGACGGCGATGAGGAGGGTGGGCAAGGCCCGGGTTGTTGCCCAACTCGTGCTCGCGACTGCTGGCGCGTTGGCCGCACAACGAGGATATCCCCGAGACGCCCCTCCCTCGCTTAGATTGGAGATCCACCGTGAACTTTCAGCATCTGCAAATCAACCGGAGTTCATTCAGGGTAGACCAGACACCGACCAGGTACGGCATCCGATGTCGCCCCGCCCGCTGTTCCAGTAGGTTGGACATCTGCGGTGACTTGTTAGCAGCTTTTCAACGGCAAAGGAAGGTAGAGTAGAGAGCGATGGGATACTATTTCAATAGTCTTGGGCCGTCTATTGGCCGCTATGAACGCTAGTTGTCGCCCCAGGGCATCGCCCTGTTCTAGCCCGGCAAGGGATTCCACCCGCCCTATAGCACCCACCGCGTAGTGAGTGAAAGAGCATCCAGAGATCAGAGGATAGTAATTCCCGATATATTCGGAGGACGACGTCGTCCCATGTTCTCTTCTCTAAACCGACTCTCAATCCTCTATATAGAGTACCCCACTCAGTGTCCAATATTTTTTCACACACAGCAATATGGCGCCTTGTCATTGCAGGCGATCTACAGGAGTTCATTCAGCAGGTACATAGGATCGAACATATGGACACAGTAAACGGACAACGAAAACGTCCATTCGCGCTTTTCCGGGCCGCTCGTTTCCAAGGCGCACGGTTACAGTTCCAATGAAAGTGCCGCGCACACGGCCTCTGGTGATGGGCTACACGAGGCGACGGTGGGAATATCGGCGTCCTTCACGATCCAGTTGGTCGGAGACAATCTCGGCGGGAGCGGCGGGAGCTCCCTGCCTAATTGGGAACCGAACAGCAGCAGCAGGTTCATTTACGTGTGGATTTCCAATGAGGATCAGGTGGGTCAAGATCAATCTGTACAATCTGCTCTATTGTACGGGAGCAAGTAGTATATTGATCTTCACCCGAGGATATACGGCCGTCCTGTAAGGGAGGCCCTGGGAAACGGTGGAAATATTTTTGAGAGGATTGAACGACAATATTCCAGCGTGGCACCTCGCACAAGGGTCTTCGCTATCATTTGGGAATGCCGCTACTGCGCTGCATGACACCGCAGATCTTGATCGCGGAGATAGTTGGCGACGGCAACACTGGCACTCTCACCGCCACGTACAAGAGCGATTTCCCCGGGGACTATCTGGTGTACGTCGAGGAAGTCCAACCGTCCGAACAGGGTGAGGGTCTTCCTATCGTGGGAAGCCCCTTCTCTCTCAAGATTGCAGGCGATTTTCCAACGCTGGACGTAAACTCCCTACCAGTTTGTGACTCCCAAGAAGATGGCAGCAACGATATCGCGGATACGTTTTGGAGGCCCGGGACATGGCTATCCTCGAACGTGGCCAGTGCTGCGCACGGAGTGATGAGAAATGGGTGGGTGTTTCAGCCCAAGTCTTGTGTTTTCGACACCTTTTCTTATCAAGATCTCATGCTCCTGGCCAGCCTCGACGGTGAGCCGACGTGGCTTGTGGTCGTGGGTGGATCGGTCCAAAGAGGAGTGTTTCTTACGCTTGTGGACATGGTGCTAGCGGCAGGACAAAAGGACGACATCGCGACAAGTACCCTTGGGAAGTGCTGGGGATACACCGACCTCCTGGTTGGGAACCTCCGCCTGACGTACCAGGTACTATCGTTCTCGTTTTTCTGTACATCAAATGCGAGGCTGTGGTGTATGTACGGTCTAGGTTTCGAGAATGTTTTTCCTTTGGATGTGGGTTCGAAGCTCGGCGTAGTCACACGACCTGGGTGGCATTCCCAAACAATTTGGAAAGCGCGGCAGTTTCGTGTGTACGCAATATTTCGACTTGACCGTCGACGAGGGAAAGGAACGGCTGAATCTCCCGCGATGATAATCTAAACAAGCCCAGAAGGAATGCGGAGAATACAACTCTTGCGTTGCCTATCGCCTGCGTGAGCCCGACTGGTGCGTCCAGATTTTTTCGGCAAGGTAAAAGGATGGGCTTCCAGAAATAATGGGATGCAAAAACTAAATAAATGTTCCCCCGGCGACAGAGAATGAATGATGTGGTAAAGAGGGGGGCAAGTCAACGGAGCTATTGCCTCTACTGCTGTAGCACCTTGAACTTCGTGTATGCCGTGCGCTGGCTTGCTTTTCCGAGGCAAACTTACACCACCCAACCCCTGGTGCGGCGTGAGTGCGCGAAACACTTCGAGAGGAACAATACTAAACTTGATGGTAGAAGAAGGACGTTGTTCTGTGTGCTGTTCTTGGCAAGTTGAACGTCGGCTCTTCGTTCGATATCAACGGGAAGTTTCATCTTTTGGAACTCTACGTCCGCATATTAAAATGAATTTTAGCAAGTGATACCACGCACCGTATCTCAAGTTCAGCCTTTTCCGAACACTCCACGCTTGAAAAAACATACTCCAGGCCACGCACTTTTCCGTCCTCTTCCCTCTCTAGATGTAGCTCGGAGGATGGAGGAGTGAAACTGTTTCGATTAACGCCCTTCGATACGCACTGAACCGCATAACACAGCACGCTCTCGTGATGCTTCGCTTGCCCTTATTCTCGCTCTGTTCAGGACATGCGTCTGTATAGGTTCGTCACCATTACCGGTACGTGTAGCCTCACGGCTGGTAACAGTTGTACTCTCGACTCTTGCATGTGGTTGTGTAGGGTGCGCTATTGTAGACTGTAGTCGTTCAGGTTTAGTGTGAATTGGCAAAGATCGAGCTCGTCGTTACGCCTGTATGTATTGAAGCCGAGTAGTGATCCTGGTTTGAGATCTAGCCGATTTCACCGGCACTGTAGCGGTCAACCGGCATTGTTCACAGTATGAAACAACTTGAATATTCCGTATGTGCCAAAGGATCATTATCCCCGGCGACCGGCATTATACCGGGACCACTGCCACATTCGCTTTGCTGGATTGTTCGTGTCGCGCAGATTGTATGTAACACACTTGCCAAAGTTGCTCACGTCTCGAGCAGAAGATGGACAATTGGAGCCAGAAACAACTCCCGCAGTGGCGTTACGCGTAGGATATGCACCGACGCCATTGGAGTAGTGCCAGTTGAATCGGAAACGTCTCAAACAAGGTAGCTCGGGTTGTCACAATCGCTGCTTTTAGAGGCCGAAACGATCATCATGCTTTTTTTTTATCGCTAACACCAACCTCTCCAACTCCATAGATTCGGTCGTCTGCAACAACGAAAAACTAACCAGCGGGAGCACGTCAGCCTTCATTCACTCCACCAAGGAGTTCCTCACGTCGACCATTTTTCAAGATGGTACCCAGTGGCCAGCGACGATTTTGGCTCCGTCTAGTTATCTGCTCCCGGACAAGATTGAGCATCAAATCGCGATTGAGGTGACACCGAACAAAAATGGGTGGTAGCTGATATTCCGCCCGAACGCTATAATGAACGGTCAAGGCAGGATGTAGGGCCTGAGTTCCCCGACCCCGATAGGTAGCGACATCTTCCTGTAAATTCGAAGACGGTTCAGCGTTGGCGATTGTGAACGGCAATCGATCTCAAGGAAGACGTTGTGATTTGTCCACTGGAGTATGCATAGGCGTGGTGCTTCGCAGGGAAGGAAGTTGCACATACGGAGGGTGTTTGTGTACGGGCAGCCCTTGAAAATATCATGGGGTCTTACGGGGGCCAACCCTACACGAGATGGGCTGAGACATGTTGCTAATTGCCTGCAACGGCGCAAGACGTGTTTGTCGCGTATTTGCGACTGACCTTGAAGAGTTTTGTGAATTCATGGGTGGTAGAATTGCATCTCGGGGTCACTATCGTTTACACGCTGTGCTCGTTTCGATCATTCTCGAGCTCAACTCCTCTACCCACACACATGCACGCCTACGCAGGTGCTGATGGATGCACTTCCGCCAAGCTGGGAAGGAAAATTCTTGTTTGTGGATCACATGGGTGCATTCGTGAGTGCAGTCAAGTTTCCCGCTGGGATTTGCCAGAGTCTAAGCGCCATCCTCTGCGACAAGCGGTTGGACAACTATGCCCTCCGAGCTTGGCGTGTGTAGTCCGATCGGCCACGCAATAGCCCGCCTCCCTGGCAATCGTTCTGGGGCGGAAAACTGGTTCATTCTTCCCCGCTGGAGGCCTGATAGATTCATTCTCATGGTTCCGCAGACGCATGGAGAGGGACTTGGCCATACAGTCGGACCAGTTCCATCTCTCAGACCTGTAAACTACCGTGCCGTCAAACTTTTCCCCGTGATTTATTGTTTGTTTTCGTGATCGCTCTGAGCGTCCCTTTTGCACCACCTGCGTCTTAACACTCATTCAGGACGTATACTGGTACGAAGGGAATCCAACGATGGCCGCTCTCGAAGACGTCAGCATAGCGTTCACCGGCGGACGGGCTTCCAGGCGGCCGCCATTCGACGGTAGTGCACTCTCGAAAATGGACGGGTATCAAGCCCGAGACTCCCGCGTATCGTTCATGAGCGCATTCCCTGTGAGTTTGCGGATTTGACCGGCCTTCACTCTGTCCATGGGTGCATTTCCAGGCACTAACCAACGCCCGGGGCGTAGTGCCTTTCACGAAAAAAAACGTTTCGACGTCTGCATATTGTACAACCTCCAAATATCCGTGCACTGGTGGTCCAACTGAGACGGACAACTTCTGTGGTCACAGGCCAAACCTCCCATTCTGAAATCTCGGGAGTGAAAATGTAAGGACCTAGAGAAATTCCTCTAAGGGACCGTTATGGTCTCGAGAGGTCCCACCACGCCGACCAAACATGTGAAATGTCTGCTGATCACTGTCAGTCGGAAGCCCCGAACCACGCATGTTTTTGTGCCAAACCTCCAAGGCGCGACAAATCACCCCATCGGCCGTTCTGCACTACAATGTACGCCCTCGGTAGATTTGGTGTCTCCTGCGTGAAGGTTTTCCTGTGACGGTGATCGGGCGTCTCACGCACGAAACACGAGCACTCAGTAGGTACTCCTGGCATCGAATTGCTCCGATCTCGATCAATTGGTGCGTAAACGTTTGCTATCCGTCACCAAATTGCAGTCTCGTCGAATGTACAACAGCATGAGCAACTCCTTTGACACCGAAAGGCCTTGTGTGCACATCATTCAGCCTTCCCAACGAGAGGTTCTGGCCGTGCCGCGTACCGCTGCCACCCGTGCCACATGCCAATATGCAGCTATACGATGGAAACTGTCGTGGCGTCACCTCACTGGAACCTTGGCGGCGTACCCCTTGGCTGCTTCGTTATTCCCCCCCGCATGCTGGCCAATGCCCGTATGGTCAGATGTACCAGGCGAAATTCTTCGAGAACGAAGGATCGAAACAAGGCACTCGACGTTACGGAGGAAATATTCACTATCACTACATCTCCTCAGCAGCGTCCAACCCCGAAGCGCACAACGGGTCCATCATGGTTCATTCGACGATGACAGAGATGCTGGCTAACGTGAGTCGACGGCGAGTGCTCACCCGGACTGACAATGTTGCTTGCAAACGATCGAAGGGAAAGTGGATGGAATGGAGGGTGAGATCCAAAAAGGGCAAGTTGGGACTATCCTTAGTCCCCCTGCACGGCAAAGCCAAAGCCGACGGACCCTCCTTTCTTCTTTCTATGATAGCCTACAGTACGTTGTTGTGTAAATCCTAACCACAGGTCATGATCGGCCGGGCCGTGGAAACAAAGGCGGCACTATTTGCGAAGGCTGCAGCATCAACGGACGTGAATAAACAAGAGAGGGCTGATGTTGGGAAATCGTTCCAGGTGGGTGTACATTGCTGGAACTGCATGCACGCTAAGTAATGTGAGCTCGGCTGGTGCTTTAAACGTTTTCCGAAAGGCGTTGAGTGGCGCCAGAGGTGATGAAACGGTACAGCAGTAGTGCGTGACGATCGATTATGAAGGACTCTCCCCGAAACAGGCAAAACTCTATGGGTTGATGAGCGTCGAGCTTCAGCGCTACTTTGACAAGCCTGCCTGCATCTCTGCCTCTCCATTCGTGTCGTCCGAATTGATGATGCGTCAGGTGTGCTCGGACTGCCCTCGAGATCTGATGCCGTTCCACGTCAAACCAATCCCCGACCCTATTTGCGAGACCGCCGAGTCCCTGCGTGGCGATGCACAAGTCGGCGAGGTGTGGAATGGAGAGCTGTGCCCCGATTGGTGCATGAAGCAGGCGCCTGTCTCTCAATTAGCGACTCAATCAGGTCCCGTCGACGTCCGAGAGTGTAGCCTCAAGACTGACCAGCCGTGATTATATAGACGTATTACGTGGGGAAAAAAAGTGGTGGTATGCAGAGTGCTCGTTTCATCTCATCGTACGGAACACGAACCGGCCAAAGAGAACCGGTCGACATTACTGTAATGTTTTGTTGGAATGGAGATGCAAACCAAACGCGTAGTCCAGTTGTCGAAGGGTGTGCTCCGACGTTCCTGGGATCGGGTCAATTGGGACGTTGGCGATATGTTCGTATCTCTCCCCGACAGTCGTCTCGAACGTAGGTGAAGTACGACACTCGCTTGCTTCTGTGTTGCCTAGAACGTGAGCATTGGGTTTCATGCATATCAGCACCCATGCTGTGTTTGAGTAAAAAGAGGTTACTCCCTATGCCCAACCGCAGATTGACAGATGGTGGCGGCCTACGATCGTTCAGGCAAGCATCTTCTCCGCCTCACTCTTCTTCTTGGGCCCTATTCCGACCTTCTTCTATACACTCCGGGGTCCAGCGGACAATCGAGAGGCCACGATGATAATGCTACCCAACCAATTTTGGCGCAGGCAAAGACTGCCCCCTACATTCAACGAACAAGACATCCCGCGTCTGGAAAATTCCGCTCTCTTGTCACGAAACCAGCGATACCGAGCCCCCCACGAGCGCGAGAGGATCGATCGAGCCCAATATGAATACCAATACTATGAATACCACGCTAGTTTCATAGTTGTGAACCCTGGCCGTACGTGCGGGTTATAGTCGGTGGCCGAGAGGGTGATCCTGCTATTCCAAACACGTGGTTTATGTGTGTCGCGTTGTTTGATGCTATACACCACACCGCAAACCTTCCAAACACGAACTCCCTCAAGAACAAGCACCCATGTCTCAAAAGGATGACACCATGAAACGATCGGCTTCACGACGTCTTGCCTCTGGAAAACCGATCGAAATTCTTGCTTTTGCAACAAGATCCACCCCAATTCAGGCTACGTGAGACGGCAAATAATAGATTTGACACCAAGAATATTCACGAGCGTGGATCAGATCATCGTGAACAACATGAAGCATTTACATACAATCAAGGTGTGCAAGCATAAATCACAACAGCGGTGTCACTTCCGACCATGGCCGGTGGACGAAAAAACAACACTGACCACCACCGCGCGAACTGGTTGTTCATTTGCAGCGTCCCCTATGCCTCACCGAGCGCACCCCGCAAGCTAACTTTCACCAAACCGCCGAAAGTTGGACGTAAAAAAACCAATGTGCAACAAAATAGGCCATGGTGGCCACGTGAAAAAATAAAGTACAGATGACTTGGAGTCAAACCCCTATTGGTGCGACGACGAGAACGGCTACGTTTTCGGCGCAATGCGCGCGTGGGCAGACCAAACGAATACTCCAGCATCACACTCGAGATTTGTGCCCTCCCAGTCACAAGTTAAAGGACGGCGATCAGTGATAAATCCACAAATGAAACACGCATGCACAGCAATCACACGCAGTGGTGCACTACCCACGATCGACGTGGTCGCAGGACAAACAAAAGGCCGGCAATCATCAAGTTTTTTCGTACTCAGTAAAACGAAGCACAATCAAATCGCCAGCAGGGTTACCGACGACGATGCCGAACATGACGACAAACAGGCACAGGGACCGTGCCGCGAAGATTCCTTTCCAGAAAGACGGAGGCAGTCATCGGCTCCCATTTTGTGCTCGATACCGGCGCGACGTTGGCCTTGTAACATTCCCCCCCTTCCATCCTGTGGTGTCTACCGTGCCGGGTGACACAGTGCCCTTGGCCCCACCTCTAAAGGATGCCATCAAGTGAAGATCCAGGTGTCATGCGCATGACTTGACGACGCCCTGGCCATATCGAACAAGCGCCCAGGCGACGCGTGCGTGATCTGTCGCGCTACGCAATGGGGCGGGTTGCCGACAGCCTCGAGCTACCCAACGCATCAAGGCCCGCCTCGTTGTCCCTCTCAAACTTGTGCAGAATCATCTGCAGCGTAGCAGTAGGACCCGCCAAGGCCATCGGGCACATCAGGCCGAAGATGATGATCATCCAGTACCCCACCGTGTGCAGGTCTTCCTGGGGTCGCAGCCGAATCAGGATTGCGTCCGCGATCGTCAGGTACAGCAGGAACATGCCTACGGCTGAGAACCCCGCAGGAAACAGGGGGTCGTACCAGGCCAGGGTATACCTCCAACCGGTGCAGACCATGAGCACCACGGTGTGCGCGATCGCCGCCAGGAACACCGATGCGGTCACAACCTGCAGCACCATCTGGGGGATCCGAGAGTTACACAGGTGAGGGGGCGGGGGGCACTCTTTCGTTGGTGCATGGTTCGTCATTTGACGAATGGTTTCACGCCCCTCTCTCGACAGCGTAACGGTGACATGAAAGACACGATTCGGACACTAGAGCGCCCTCTTTGTGCACAGAATATGGGTACAAAAGGTTGTGCTGTTTGCCTATATTGACCGCCCGGTGCGGCCTTTTCTTTCAAATGAACTGCCTTTAAAACACTATTCTCCTCATATCCTCATTGGTGTTGTCATTTCTTCTCAAAGAAGAGGCGGAAGGTGACGACGAAGAGCTACATCTTCAACATCGGGCACCCGGGACTACATGTCGCTCTAGATTTCGGATGTTGTTGAAACGGTCGTAAACCACCGGCGTACCCGTGTTGCGTGCTACGCAACGGGAACAGCAACAACGGTTGCGCAGACCCAGTTTTTCCGCGGTTTCAACAAGGAAACCACCGCCGCCCCTTGTACATGGGCCTAGCAAAAACGGAACCGCGCCTCCTCAGCAAAGCACAAATGGAGCCAAAATACTCCCAAATGTTCTGACCTGAACCTTCTCCTCGTCTTTCGTGATCTGCTCATGGTTCTTGCCCACCACGGATAGCACGAGAAATCCAGCGAGAATGGTGTCAACCTGGGGGTGAGGCGCCGCGCAGCAGTGCCACGCAGAGAACAGCCCGGGTGATCACACCGCAAGCATACAAATAAGGCCACTTTCGTTGCAGCAGTGGAGTCCGAGCACACCCACGAACAACATGTTTCCCATGTCCGCAACAAGCAAGCCTTTCCGCGGAGGCTTGGCGCTGCCAGCGCAGACTTTGCTCTTATAGCCAAAATGTCGGCCACCGCGTGAGACATGAACACGGCGCACCCTTTGGGCAGTTAAACAGACAGGTGATCGTAACCGTCGCAGACTCTCTCCCCTACTGGCCCGAGTAGCCTTTGGGTTTTGAATAGTTGGTCCATGAAGATTGTTTGAGGCTGTAGTCCACCTCTCTCGCAGTTGGGTCAGTTGGTTTCTGGTTGTACCGAACCCGGCTTCAGATTCTTGGCGTCACCGAGCTACGGCTTAGAAGTGAGCGGACAAACCCTAAGTTATCACTACACGCACACACAAAGCTGCATTCGTGGAGCTCCATTTCGTCGGACAAAAACGGTGCAGAGGTGGTGTTCCGAACACTCCGGCAGAGGCAAAATATGGAACGGGAAACCAGCGGACAAGCTCGACGACGGGGACCAGCAAAATGTAGAAAACGGCCTTGGAAAAAAAAAAAAAAACTCTCTAACCTGAACGATCGCCTTGAGCAGGTCCAAGCTCCTGATGTGCTGCGAGCAGATTGCACTCGGTTGCCCGTCTCCGTCGTCCTGCAGGAAAGGACTGTCCTCCGAAAACTTCACCATGGGCTAGAATATATTTCTAGGTAGTAGGTCGCGTCCGCAAACCGAAGATCCTTTGCCGTCAGTCGCCTTCGAGGGATTTACTAACTACAATAAATAGGCCAGGAGTCCGTACGTCCTCCTCCTCCTCCTCCTCCTCCGTACTCTTCAAAAAACAAAAAACAAAAACTCCCTTGGACAAACTGCCCAAAGAAGCGCAAACGGGAAGCAAAAGGATCAGAAAATAGATCCGCTGCTCGCGAAAAATGTGTACGCATATGCGGTGATATACCGGAATTCAGAAATAGGCCAGGACCACGCGTGAGTAAAGAGGAACTGCTGTAGACGCTGGAGGAAAGGCTGCCCAATGGTCGGGGAAATATGTATTCTCCCGTGTTACACGTAGCCGCCCTTGCTCACAGCTGCGGCCGAGCTCGTTCCAATCCAACTTCCAGCGTATCAGGTCAAAAGGCCCACCCCTCCCACCTACAGCTATATTTTTCCGAGCACCTCGGCTGTTTAGAGCCGTGGGAACTTTCGCCGGAGAGATACAGCAGTAGAGAACGATCTGCAGCAGCAGGTGGTTCGATACTGCTGCGTATGCACCAGCCCGCGTTTGGTTTATGTGTTGTCGCTGGTGCTGCTCTCGCTGGTGCTTCGCTGCAGTGTGCGTGAGTGCAGCGTGGCGTTCGTTACCATCCTGGGCCCTGGGCCACGAGAAAAACAACACTGTGGGCCACGAGAAAAACAACACTGCTGTACTACTGCTGTAACACCTGCCTTGGCACAACGTCTCTGCTCCTGCAAGTGAGCGTTTCAAGTACATAAGGGTGTACGGGCAACTCGGCGTCTGATAGCGCGCGCCTTGGACCACGACGCCCGTAACAAGCCCCCTGCTGCAGCAATACATCCGCAAAAGAGAGGGGGGAATGTTGTAGCCCTTGCACGACGTTTGTTGGCGTTGGCGTTGGAGGTTGTTGTGTTTTGGCAGGCACACACCAGCCGCAGCACCGTATTTTCTCCGCACACACACCACGTTGAAGGTTGTTGTGTTGCCTGATATAGTCTACACGGCCCCGCCCGGCTCTATCTATACTACAGGCTTCTCACCTTCGGCTAGTCGATTATCACGGAGTTTATGAGGGGTGGCTAGGGTGGATGCTGCAGCCAGGAAAGCGGAGTCGTGTTCTGGTGCCTCGTTCTCGCCAGGTCAGAGAGGTCAAAGAGGGGCGTTCCAGGCTATTCCAGGTCTCCCAAGGTCTCCTCCTGCTGCTGATGACGCTGCTCGCGCAGCCCTTGTTGCCACACAGATCGGCAGCGAGCGTTGCCCACGACACCAGCCGGAGTTCTACTGCCCGGCAGCAAGCTTATTGCGCAAGAGAATGAGGGGCTGTAGGGTGATCTCGCAGACTCTCTCTCTCTCTCGCTCGCTCTCGACACAATAATCAACACCTACGTTCGCTGCCGCCGCCGTCCGGTATGCATGCTACAGCAGTAGCCTTGATCTCCGTCAAGTGGCACAATCTCCGAAACAACAACAACCATGACGTCACGCGCATGTGGCGATAATGTTATTTGTGATGAAACAGGCAAAAAATTATTTGCCGCAAGCGGTCGGTGTGGTTGCCCTTTATTCAAAGTTCATCCTCAAAGCGGCGGTACAAACAGCACACCAGGGCGGGAGAGATAAGCAGCAGAGCAAGACCGCTTTGGTTGTCCACCACGTGCTGGGTGGCCGGTGCTGTTTTGACCTCGTGACGTGTGCCAGCTGGGCGTCGCTGCTGGCGGCTATGGAATCATCCTCTTCCGCTACTACTCCAGCCCCCGCTCCAGATGCACTTTCCGCGTTCGCGGATGAAGGCAAGCAAGCTGTGCGCGTTTACTAGCAGCTACCCACGATCTCTGCGTTTTGAATCACACACAAGCATTAGTTTCGGGGTAGATGCGTGCACGATTCCGCCTGCTCTACTGCAGGCCCTAGAGCATCCCACGGATTGGTTTCGGAATCTGCGTTCGCCGAAAAATTCCTCCTCTCTTTGAAGAAAAACACGCGCGCGTCTACGCGTCTACGTTCACACATGGGACAATCCTGCTGCTGCTATCTAAACTAGCATAGAAGGGTGTTGGCGAACAGGTGTGTTGAACACTGCCGGCTCCGGGTTATCGAGAACGAGCCGGCCTTTCGAAGCTGCTGCTGCCCTCTCTAGCGCAGGCTGCGCACCATAGTCTAGGGTTTGGCAGATCTTTCTCTTCCCTCTGCTGCTGCGTTTTTTCCGCTTCGCGCTCCCATCGGGGGACGATAAGTATGTGGTGGCTACTGTTATGACGAATACCCTCACTTTTGCTGCCGCAGTCGGTCGATCACAGCGAACCGGGGCTTTTTGTTACTTGCTGCTGCATTGAAGCTCCGTGAATATGCTTCAGGGAACAACGTATTTTTTTCAGCAATGCCCCACCCGCGCGTTGCTCATCACCATTGTTGTTGCTGCGGATGCGGTGTGCAGCGTGCAGTGCAGCAAGAGCAGAATGGGTCGCAGGCACGACAGATGCGCGTGATGCACACCGTTTTCACGATGAATGCCCTTTTTTTCTTTTTTTCGGAGAGGTGGTGGTGTCCGGGCAGCATTTATTCGTTCTCTCCCCCCATTTGTATTTTTGTATTTACCCCTTGCCGGAGGTGCTTGCTGGCCCACCGATTCCGAAATATGCGCTCGGTAATGGATGAGGTGCGACAGCAACAAGTGCATCCATCCGCCCTTGGTTTCAACGCAATGCTTTTGGCACACGGGTTTGAAAATACGTGCGTCCTGCACCAAGGTCCCGAAACGAGTTGTTGTTGTTGTTGTTGTTGTTGTTGTCTTCTCAGCAGTTGAGTACGTAAAGCGGAATACGTACTCTAGCATACCGTGCCAGACCTCGTGAGTATGTATCGTAGAAGAGGCAAATTTTTCTTTGTTCTACTTGTAGAGCCGTTTGACTTTTCTTTGGCAGACCACTTGGATGCTGCGAAAATGCACTTACTTGGCGCCATTTCAGCGTTGCTGCATTCGAAGACTGCTTGTACACCTCATTGAACCGGGGCATTTTTTCGCCTGCACTTCTCATGCCTCTGCAGCGAAAGGTAGAGTCGCGTGTGCATGCTTGAACTTGGACGATTTGGATTTTTGTCAAAGTCCTTGCTTTCCTCTCGTCAAAATCGGGTGGTGACGCAAGCCATGCCTAAAGAAGTAGTGAACTTCGTGGTTGTATTGTTTCTGAGATGCGTGGCTCGAATGGGTAGTCTTTCTGTGTGTGTTTTTATTATTCCTTAATGGGTGGATGTATTAAATAGTCGCAAAAAAAAGAATAATAAAAAAGTCGCCGCGCAAGGATCTCAAGGGTATCATATGATGAGGGTCGGCATTTGGGTGGGATGGGGATCATGTGGGAGTAAACCTACTCTGTTTCGCAACTAGTTCGCGCATCCTGTGCCTCTGTTGTGAACCACTGTGGTTGTTGGTGTCTAGAAGTGAGCAGGCAAGCAAAGCATGCTCTAGCTGCAATCGTTGCTGTTTTTTGGTCTTTGGGCTTGAAATTCCAACTATTGCGGCATTCGTCGTCTCCCCTATGCTACTGTACTAATAAATAGTATACAAGGCAGCAGTGTCGGTGTTGGCGGCCAACGTCCCGTTAGACCGGGGATGCAATCGTGATGTGTTACATGTATCATACCAACGAACAGGACAATACAGAGACGTGTACTGCTGGTGTATCGCCCCCCTTCCTCATCGTGCCTGCCGGTATGCATGCGCAACGCCTGCCCGGGCAGTTCTGCGATATCTTTTCCTAACGTTTACAATCTGCGACTTGGTGAAGCGGCAACGCGCTACGTCAAACGTTTTCCTCTCCACCCTCCATCGAAAATGCCATATTGTCAAGGACTATAGTACGGCCCACCGTGTACGCTCGTTGGGCCGGCTCATGCGGAATGCAGACGTCAGTTTACGGGGAGTGTTCATCGATGATCCATGCACTTCTCCAGTGACGCGGTTGAAGTCTTGACCTATCACGACGCAGATATCCAACCACATTTTTTGCTCCTTGTGGTAAAACTACTCTATCTTTCCGATAGCTGCACTTAAATATATAGCACATCTGTCTCATCCAGGCACGCTTTCGGTGCATGGAGTTCTGGGATCTATGCGGGAACCGAACCACACCCCTTCGTCGGTTTCTCTTTGCTGCTCTTTGACGCTGCCCCCGTGGGGAGTCGCGCATCCCCCTCTCACGTGTACATTCTGCTTGACATGTATCAACGCCCGTCCCTTGATTTGTTTGACGTCTGCCGTGGGCCTAACAGGGTTCTCATGGTTCAAGCTGCTGTTCGGCATAGCCTACATGACCTTCGGGGCTTACTGTCTGGTGCTTTTCTTCCGAGCGCGTCATGTCTTCGAGATCAGGGCAAGGTGAGAGAGGGTTCTTATCATGTTGGTTGCAGCGGTGGTGTGATGTGAAAGATGAAGATGAAGTGTGTCTTTGCACAGCAGCAGGAGCAGTCAGTTGCAGTTGTTGTGGTCGTCCCCTATCGTTGTCGCCCGGACATGTATGTAGCGACCCCAAACATCCAGCAGGACAAGTCAGAGCTTATTATTATCTTATTAAGGATGAAGACAGACTGGCAAGAGCCAAACACAATACCTGACTCGCCCTTCTACCGCCGGTTGCCCAGATCTGTCTACCTCGTTACGACCCTTGGACTGCTGCTGCTCTTGTATGAGGGAATTACGGTGGATCTCCACGCTATTGTCCTTTTCGGGACGCCGGCTAACTACTTCACAAACAATCTGGTGAGATAAGCGCTGTTGTTGTGTTGTTTTGCCGTAATTGAGGCATGCTCACGACCCAGGGGCTGGGTTGCCAATGATAGAACCTTTGGCGATAAGAGCTGCAGCTGTATAGGGTGGTCGACCCCTCCCCCTTTTCCTCTTTGGGGTGGTTTCTGGCGCTTCCCAGCTTGCCTAAGAGCCACACTATTCCCTCCTACACCCCCCCCACGCCTGCCTCTTGCTCTCTCGTCTTTGTTCAAGCTTGTGTTCTTTGTGACGTTCTCTATCGCGAGCTGCTACATCAGCAGAGTCATCCGGCTTGCCGTCGGGTTCCATCCCAAGCTCAGGAGATCTATGCCAAAGCTCATGTCGGTGAGAGAGAGACGAGAGAGGGAGGGAGTTACGCGTGTTTGTTCTGGTCGGGCGTGAGGCGAACCTCCTTTTTAGGCTTGCGTTGAACTTGGTGGTTCTTACCTGGTACATCAGGTGGAGGCGGGATGTGTGTCAAGGCACAACAACTACGACGTGTGCCTGAAGCTGTCCAGCTGCGGTAGCCGAGGTCATCGGTGTTCGGGACGGGTTCGGTGTTCAAGAGCGTTTTAGGTGGACGTATGCATACAAAGCATCATGCATCTGGAGCACGCCGTGTGTTGAAGCAATAATACGTTCGATCGTCTTGTAGTAAGCCCTTTGTCGCACGCGCTCCTTTTTCCTTGTGGTTGTGGGCTGGTCTGATGGCCCTCGGTGTTTCCTGCTTGGTTTGTGCTGTTTTTTATTTTTCTGCAGGAGAAGCTCCTAATCTCCGTGAGCCTGTCCATCGGTGTACTGTCACTGGCCATCCCGATCTACTACAAGTTCACCATCCCGAACGAGTGAGCGACGCCCCCCCCGGGGCGGTTGGTTGGTTGTCAAACTTGTGTCCAGGACTCTTCTGAGACACAGAAATGCGTTGGTCAAGGGTCTTCGGACGTAGCTTGAGTGATTGGTGGGATGGAATGGGGGGGCGCAAACAGGCTGCCGTGTAATATTGCAGCGTATGCCGATCAGCTCGGCGTATTGTAGTGCTGGCTCATCTTGGCGTATTGGTTCCATCAAGGGTGCTTTTTTTCGTAGTGCTTGGGGTCTCAGCACCCTAGCGTAACCCCGGGCGTTGGGATTGCGCACAGGGGACGCGAGGATCCACCTCCACCGTCTGTCCATGGATGCATGCAAACGGCGTTGAGCAGTAGGTCTACGGTCACTCATGGTGGCACTTGATTCGCCGCCCGCCCCCACCTCCCATGTCGGTCTGTCTGGCTCTTCATGAATCGTGTCCGGTACGTCTTGGACGTGGTACGGTACGGCGGTACGGCGGCGTGCTTCTTCCAACCCATGGATCACCAGGGAGTACCGCGACCATCAAGCGGGCGTGAAGTGGCTTTGCACGCTGGTGCTGCAGATAACGCAAATCTGCCTGCTCCCCGTGGTGTGGTGAGTGTCGACGTTGAAAGAAACCGCGTTCCGGTTGGTTGTATTCGGGTCTACCCGCCGCACCCCTCCGGGTTTGTCCAAGCACCCTAACCTCTCGACGGCATGGGATAAGAAGCTTGTACGCGATCACCCTCCACCACCACCGCGCCAAGCGAGGCAGACACTCACACCCTACCTTGGTCGGCCGTTGTGCCCTCATGCCGCCACCGCGTCCTCGTCCCTTGGCCTTGGCGTGCCTGAACCGAGCCCCGTTTCCCGCCGGGTGCTACGCCGGCCCCCGAGTCTTGGTCGTCCACAAGTTTCTGCTCGCGATTGACCTGTCTTTCTTGTCCTTTTTACCGACCTGTCTCTTTGTATTTCTGTATCTCTGTCTTTGTCTCTGTCTGTGTGTGTCTCTCTCCCTCCCTCCCTCCCTCCCTCCCTCTCTCTCTCTCTCTCCTCCCTCCCTCCCTCCCTCCCTCTCTCTCTCTCTCCTCCCTCCCTCCCTCCCTCCCTCTCTCTCTCTCTCTCCTCCCTCCCTCCCTCCCTCCCTCCCTCCCTCCCTCCCTCTCTCTCTCTCTCTCTCTCTCCCTCCTTCCCCCCCTCTCTCTCTGTCGTTCGCTACGGTCTCTCCCGCGGTATGGTCTTCGTCCTTTCGGGTTATGTTTCCCGCAGGTACATCGATGACCTGTTTCACATCAGCCGGGAGCTCATGGTGATCATCGTACTGGGCCTCATTCAGAGCGGTAAGGGACAGCTGATGCGTCGCTGCGTGCCCTGATTAAGCGAAACATAGTTGCCATGCAGGAGGGTGCGAGCGTGGTGGGTCTTGGGCCTGCATGTGTGTGTCTTCTATCTATGCCCAGTGAGCTTGGTAGCCGTGAACTGCTGCCTGTACACATCGGGCGGCGGTTCGAGGAATGTGCAGATGCGACTTTTCTGGGCGTCAGCCCATCGGTTGCTTCCCAAAGGCAGCAGCCCCTGCCCAAGGCAGCGCGTGGTTGAGTGTCTCCGTCTTCTGTAATTAGGCCAGCTTTGCAGTTTGCGGTGCACACCGCAGGAAAAGGGTACCCCCCCAAAAAATGAAAATACAAATAATTAGAATAACACCTACGGCTGTGGTTTCGAACACCAGACACGTGATGTGAAAACTTGACCTTTGTACATACCCAAACTTGCCTCAGAAGGCCATGCGTCAGATCTGCCACCCATTTCACTTTTCGCGGGGCAATGTTGGACCTGCTGTAAACATACCGCCAACAACACTGTCCCAGCCAGCCACCTCCAGCTGCTGCATGCAGCGACTGTCTTGCTCAGCTCGTTGCCGTCAAGAGCAACCGAATGTCGCCATGTCACATCCCTCATCTCTCTCGGAGGCGTCCCCCATTTGGTTGATAAGCAGTTTCTTCCTCGACTTTCCGGGTCTTGTCTTCGTGCTCCACTTGTCGTGCAACGTTTACTTTTTTTTCTTTGGCAGTGTTCGTCAAGCTTTTCCTCGAAAAAGACCTGACGGGAGACATCAGGAACCTCATCAACCCGCCCAACATGCAGCTCTTGACAATCTCAGTGTTGTTCGGACTCAGGTGTGTACGTGCGTATGTATATGCCTGCGGTTTAACGCAAAAGACACAAACGAAGTTCGCTGAACAGCACCAGCGTGACGATCGATCTGCTCGCCAACTCGCTCTCCCGCTCGAATCACGTTCCCCGCTAAACGAAGAGAGCAAGGACACTGACAGGGCCGTGGAAAGCTGCTTGCTCTACCTTGTCTACTCGCTCACGATAGAATACCCGTCGCTTTCTCTTTTTTTTTTCTGCGAGTCCAAGAAGGCCGTTCCGTTTCTGTCGCTCTACACGTTCGTTGCACGCTTTGATCGCAGCGTCATCGATCCAGTCCGCCGTCTCAAGTTCAGCCCCATGGCCCAGAGCTCGGCTCCCATGGCTCGTGCTGTTCTGAGGAGCTCCGCAGCCAGGGCACAAAAGCCCAGGTACTGGCATCTTGGGTGACGCGAATCTGCGCCCCCCCCCCCCCAATACAAGGGACGTACAAGGAGATGTTTGAGGCATGGAATAAAAAGGAACGGACGGTAGCTGTACTGGGGAGTAGGAAGTGGTTTGAAAAGGCGGGAAGGGATATCGTTAGGATAGACAGACTAGGGAAGACATTTTTGAGCCACCTTTGGCAAAGTAGGAAGGAACGATTGGCCATCGGTGATCGGTCCTGTGGGAACAATGCTCCGTCCTCTCGAGGACGCGTGGTCAATGGTCTAACCGCTAAGGCATGCAAAACATAAGAGTACGCCCCCCCCCCCTCCCCCTGAAGCGATGATTCCGAGCTTGGGGCACAGCTGTAAAATTGTCTACGACGAATGTTCTCTGTGCAAATATCGCTGCTTCTCTTTTTTGGCCTGGTAGCCGCGCTACAAGTATTGTTTGGGTGAAATCCCTTGACACCGAATGGACACTCGGGTGAGTTTGGTTCAGTACGTGGGGTAGGGCGGGTGTGTGAAAATCGACCTCCCACGTATACCCGCACTGCTGTTGTGCAGGGACCCCGATTGCACTTGTGAACGGCAATATTAATATCGATTGCACTTTACGGTAATAGTATGTTTATATTTCCGGTCTTCCCTGACGTGCTCCCCCTCTGTTCGTTTGCCGGTCAATCAGGCGAGGGAGCTCCTCGAGCCAACAGCGGAAGATCACCCCGAGCGAGGAAGCCGCCCAGCACATGTGGACCTACGACAAGATCGCCCTGGACAACTCCATGGCGGAGGCCTTCCGGATGTTTGCCAACAGGGCGCTGTGCCAGGAGTCGGTCTGGTTTCTGGAGGAGGTTTTAAGGTGGGGCCACGGTACTTTTTGCTGCGTTCTGCTGCTGCTGCTGCTGCTGCTGCTGCTGCTGCTGCTGCCCGTTGAGAAGTTTCCGCGCCCCCCGGTCTCTACAAAACCCTCACCCTCTCTTCTCTGACCCTAGACCCTGGTTTCTAGCTGCACCCCACTGTCTCTGATCTCCCCGAAGAGTTGTTGGCGCATATCTGCAAAGCATGGCATGACATGGTTGACGTGACACATGGAATGACATGATATGACGTCACATCACACATGGAATCTGACCGATGTAGGTACACCACAGGACTCTGGATAGATGCATGTTGTGACAGATTCACACAGCGGCAGGTGAAGGTGCCGTGACGCGAGCTGGCCAACATTTTTCTATGTTCTTCGCTTGGGTGGGCAAGAGCACCTGCTGTGCTCTTTTTCTGATGACATCAGGCGCTGTTCGCCTCACACCACTTTCACCCTACACAGCTACCTCAAGGTAGCATTCCAGGGACCAATAAAAACCAACTGTCGCAGAGCCCTGGTAGGTTTCATCCTGAGGATCTTGCCATGCCCCCTGTAGACTCCTGACGCCACGCCCCCCCCCCCCCCCCCAAGCCACAGCTCCAATCCTTCTTGTCCCAGACCATGTTTACACGAAGCCCGTGCATAGACATTTGCGGTTTCACCGAGTACTCTCCTCCGTCTTGCGCTAGCCCTGACCCCTGGCCCTGACCGCACCTCCCGACTCCCGGCTTGCAGGTACCAGAATGAAGACTACACCATCGCTTCCCCGCTAGGAGGCGGCAAGATAGAGGCCTTCGAAGCCATCGCGAAGCGGTTCGTTGAGGACGGAGCGCCGGATGAAGTGAACCTCAGGTAACGCAAATACCACAAACATCAGCTGCTGCTGCTGCTGCTGCTGCTGCTGCTGCTGCTGCTGATTTTGTTTTTTGCATAGACATGGTCGAGCATCAATCAGCGTCAGTGCGTCTTGTTCCGCTGAGGTGCCGAGTATTATGCAGTGTCGACTCACAGATCTACTCGCGATTACCAGCAAGAACTAGCCTAGAGATGCGGGTGTAGACTCGGGCTTCTTTGTCTTCTTTCGTGCCAGCCGTCGAGCATATGTAGGCCGCACTGCCTGTTGTAGCACGTACCGCAGAGGCTTTATTTTCCACATCATCGGGCGGGCGGGCGTCGTGGCAAAATCCTGAGGGTACCCTTCGTGTCGGATGCGGTTTATTCTCCACCGCCGCCGCCGCCCCTAGGGATTTGGTAGAGGCGTGTTTCTCGGATACCTAGCGCCAGCCTTCGGTATATATCCCATAACGTTGCCATTGACCGCAGTAGTTTCCGAGGTTTGCAGTATTCCACCCAGAGAAACGTGGACGTATATGCGGTGAAATTTACCTACTTTTTCTCCCGCCGAACCGGGGCGAGAGGATAGAGTTGCGAGGAAACCGAAAAACGCTCCAGGCAATAGTTAGTAAGGCCTAGATCTACACCAATCGGCTGCTGACCGGCCTGGTCTTGTGGGTTGACTTTGTTTGCTAGATTTTCCATGCTGCCTCCTGGATGGTTTTATGCGTATACAAGGGCGACAAACATTCACACGCGTACTGCTGTAACCCCCAACACCCCTAACCGCCCCCGCTATTTGACTACCCTTTCATTCAGCTACACGGACAAGAAAAACATCATCGCCATGTTGAACAGAGAGGCCAGGGGCTTGGAACCTTCTGACGAGGAGCTCAGGTACGCATCTCGTGTCTACGTGTACGGTTTGCGGAGATTGTGACGTGGCGGGTGCTGATGCTGATTTCGTTGTCCGTGAGCAGGCAAGGCGTTTGTTGCATGTCGTCTGCTGTGTTGCGTGCGGAAAAAGCGAGAGCTGTTTCTTTCACTGAAATGGGGCGTTCGAAGCTGTCGGTTGCAAGTGGCAACCTTCCAAATGGACGATATATTCAGCACTCCAGACACCACCGTGCTTTCCTGTCTTGACGTGTTGCCTCATGCTTAACCCTAACTGTTGTGGTTTCCCTCGTGCTGCCTGCGTGCAACCGTCGTCGTCTCAACAGCGGCGTTTTCGACCGAGCCTACTCGCAGATCCGTTTTATGATCGAGTCGAACATCGTGCACAAGTTCTTGGAGACGGACGAATTCCGTAAGGCGGCCAACTCCATGCCGCCCAGCCGTCGCGAAAGGCGCTTGTTCCTCTTGCCGTGCTAACTCTCACGCCGACGATGCTTCTGGCCAACGTGTGCGGCCAGCCGGCCTGATGAGCTCGAGCTTTTATGGAGGCACAGACGGAGAGAGGACGCCGTTTATTTGCCTATCATATCATGCCCTGTTGCGTCTCGGCCCGGGCTGTCGCGTCGTGATCGGTATCGTTATTGTTATCCTTGTTTTGTTGTCGCGAAGTGGAGGCCTTGTTGTGTATGTTCGGCAACGGGGTTGCCTTCCTCGTGTTAAGTAGTCCAAAGGGAACTTTGTAGGTGGTAGACGCTGGCGGCGCTTTGTTTAGTGTTGTTACAGAAAAGAAAATGGCGGGTACAACGTGCGTATCTACCGTCCTCGCTCTCCCTCGCCATGCTAGATGATTCTCCACGTTTTGTGCCGGGTGGGCAAAACCCGCCGAATCTATTGTGTCGTGTCAGATTACAACCTTCATGTTTACGTACAGCAAGGGCACCGCGCGGGAAGTGTTTCGTGTGGCATGCAGGCAGGGGTCCGCCCGCGCGGCGAGCGTCGTTTCTCGGACTCAGAGGAGGAGGCAAGTCATATACGTGCCTTGAGCTTGTGTGCCTGCGTGGGGTGTAGCGGGGGGCCGTATTCGTGTATTAAGTCCGTCTGTTCGTTGGAAGGGAGGGAGAGAGGGGAGATAGAGTGTGCCGGTTCGTTGGAGGCGTTTTTCTGGTGAATGTGTGGGGGGTCGTGCATGTACACCGACAGGTACCACACACCGCAGTCTGGATGCATTTCGCAGTTTGTTTGCTAAATACAACAGTAGTTGGGAGAAAGAGAGAGGGAACAAGGGCGGTATATCGTAGGGCGACACGGGCGTGTGGTAGTGTTCGGGGGGAATGTTTTTCAGAATTCGCGCTCCCGTGGGGGATGGTTGAGGGTAAAGGCTGTTGGGAAGTCGTTGTGAATCACGACGCCGTTTTTTTACGTGACGTTGACGTCGCGCGATAAGACCTCACTGCACGCAGGGGGTATTGCTGCCTGCAGCAACATGCACCCGTTTGAGTCACATCTGCTAGAGTTGGGTCTCTCTTTGCTCCACGAGCGTATCATCACGGCTGTTTGTAGGCGACGAAGTAGAGTAGTGGTGATCGTGCGGTTCAGCCCCTTGGTTTATTTTGTTCCCGTGGTCGTGTGGGTGTTGCCGCTGCAGTTGTGAGTCGATCCCGGGCGGCTTTAATTCGGCCGCGGTCCCGGCAGCCCCATCCCGGTTTGGCGACCCTTCTGACGAGCGAGTGATCCCAGCGTGTGTGGGTGTGGTCGTGTGTTTCACCCAGGCATTTTTTTTTTGCGGGGGGGGGGGCAATGCTGCTGTTGATGAGGAGCGTTTCGCGAGCACGCCTAACCAACAGCGTTAATGAATGGGGTCCGGTTATCTTGGTGGGTGGCTACCCCGGCGTGTTTGCTGTCCCGCGGTGAGTGCCAGTGGCGCTACGGAGAGTGGCGGGCTCGTTTTTTTTTTTCGCTCGGAATGCTGACGTTTCCTCTTGCATGACCCTCAAGCTCGTGGAACGTTTTTCTTTTTGTCTTCGCGTGGCTGGTGGACCCGTTGACGTATGTGCGTATTTCGCAACCACGGGTGAATGGGTGGGTCTTGACGTTCATTCCTTCCCTGTTGGTGCAAGATCTGGCTTGGAGGTAGAACCCTGTTTCTTTGCAGTGGAAGGAGTTGAATCATTGCATGTTTCTGGTTGGTTGCTGCGGGACATCTGCCACCGCCGCCAGAGAGCATAACGGCGGCATGGTATGTTTTTTGTGTCGTGACGAATAATTTAAAAAGGGGGGCCAGGGGAACCAGGCGCATCTGACTTAAATCAGCCCTACCCGGATGGACCCCCCCCTTGCCCGTGGAGTTTACGCCGTGTCCTGTTGCTGTCAGACAAAAATTAGAGTAGTGTGTAGGTGTTTTATGGTAATCGTATCTTGCCCCTTGTCTTTGTTCTTGCTCTTGATAAGCATTTTCCTCAAAGTGTGTCTTGTATTTTGGGGGTGTTGCGTTCTCATGGGTGGTTTGGGTAGAAATAGTTGATGTTGTGTTTTTTGGTACGCGGAGAGTGTTGCTGTTTCTGGAAACGAACCTAGGGGCACTCTCCGCGTGCCCTTTCCAAGAAGCCATGTACAAACTTGTCCTCCCTTTCTCCTTGATTTGGTTTTGAGACTTGTTGCCGACGGGGTGTATGTGTTGTAGGGTTTGCTCGCTATTTAGGAGTCTGCCGATGTTTGGTGGTACGCGCGGGGTGGGCGCATCGTATTTTTTTTCTTTTCCTTTCCTCTGACCGAATGGATAGGCTGGTAGAACCAATCCCTCGCTGACGGTGTGTAGTAGTGATGATGGTCGTCCGGGGTCTGAAAAACAACGTTAAGGTAGAACAAGGGCTTCCGGTATTAGTAGTATACATAACCCAAGTATGTTGGACTTGTTGTGGTCCATGAACAATCAAATCAAATGTGCACACCGTAAGGGTGCGGCTCTCGTTGCCAACTTTTTTGTGCAGTCAGTTTCAACTGCATGGTTCGATTCGGACCGACCCCTCCGAGCCGAACTCAACATCATCTCGACATGGAAGATGATTGTTGGAAGTCAGCAGGCCGTGGATGTGGGCTGTTGGATCATGCTCTCTCCCCGCCCCACTTTTTGTGACGATTTATGTGACGGCACCGCAAACGAGTTGTTGTGATCCTCTCGGCGAGTCAATGCGCGGGAATTTTTCCTGACGGCAGCTGTGAAGTGTGAAAAACACCATGTACCTACTGTAATCCCAACAACAACGAACGGTACAATAGGGCATCATCGTATCAATGACTGTACATCTGTGGTGCACGTTCAGACAGTGGCGCATCATGGTGCACGGAGATTTACGCCTCCGCATCCTTTATCATCATCCCTGTTTCCATCCATCACAACACCGACAGAGTACTAGAAGAGTGAAATTGTCACTCACTCCTCGCATGCACATCACCTCACAAACAATAAATGCATGGAGCTGGCTTCTAGTATGTGCCTACCGGCATGCTCACGACGTAAGGCTATCGAGCGTGGGTAACAACTGACCCAAGGTCGAGGACCTTCGAGGGCCGAGGTCGACGAGCCGAGCGTAGCGACGTTGCCCCCCGCGACGCTCACTCAACATACAGAGTGCTGGGATCGGGGGGTCTATTGCCGTGCAGAGAAGCGCTCCCTCCATCAATAGAGCGAGCTATGGTACACTAGATGCCATACCGCCTGACACCAACGTTGGCCTGCGAGTATGATTTCCACTGGGACGATCAATCCTAAATTTTACTGCTCAACCATGCTACACTACCCCGCGCACTTCTCTCTTCTGCATGAGTCGCGCGGCAGAATAATAGTCGATGTCCGCAGAGAGAGCTACGTGATGCGTATTGCCCCCCAGAAAGTGTCGACTTCAATCGCACTATCACTCATTGGAACCTCTATCCTCTTAGTACTGGGTGCAATTCACGAACTACTGTATGTACATGACTTCTGGAAGGGCAGGTGCCACGGGCCCGTCGCCTTCTTGCGTTACCTTGAAGCTGTAAGAGCAGCTGGCACGAGCACAAACACTAACGCAAATTTCGAACCTGCGAGACAGAAGCTCTTGGGTAGTACCAAGTTGTTGTTCGACGGTCGCGAAATTGACTGGATAACAGGTTCGTCGCCCAACAGCCACACTACAGCAGTACCTCAACCCACGGTAGCTCCTGTTGGATTATCGCTTTCTTCAGCTCTTTTAGCAATACACGGTCTGTCGATACCGCGGTCAGCCCGAGCACCGCGAAGGCGATGGAACCAACGACTTCGTACCCTTTAAGTCACTCCACATACCATCGTTCCAATCGTGAATGACCCAAGCACGTAACAACCTCCACGTCAAGCACAGGATTACACTAACTTCTGTCAAGCCGGCACCCAGCCAGACCAAAGCGTCCCCCAACGCACCGACGTGCGGGAACAAGTTTGTATGCAATGGTCCCCGAGTAATAAAATAACGCCCCTGCCAGTGTCCCGAGTACTGCCGATTGCATCGTCACCATGCCATTCTCCAACAGGAGCACGATTGTCGCCGGCGATACGTACCAAGTGTGCTTGCGAAAGCAAAAGCCACATGAACTACGAATATCCCCTCTGCCTCCCCGCCGCCACGAGACCGCTTCCTGCCAAAGGATCCCTCAAGTACACGTAGCTTAGCAATCAATGACTCCACCAGCTCGACACCAGAAACCAGCACTAGAGAGGCGATTGTCACCCTTCCGAACCTGGCGGGTGCAGTGGCAAAAGTCTTTGTTGGTGTTGGGCTCTTCCCCCATACTGGTAGGTGCTGGAAAGGTCCAACAATGGCATGGCAGGGCACAAACCTTTCAGTCCTTCGCCCGTTGAGCGCGCAGCGGTCCAGAGGCACACCCGCTTTTAGACGAAAGCCTGAACTTCTCCTCGGGAGATCACACGGCTCATTTAGCTCGGTACATGTAGGGTTCTCGCGAGGCTGTTACAGCCGACGTAGTCGGGCACGGTAAGGTACGCAAACAGAGTGCCGTTAAGGAATACCTCCGAAAAATCGAGAATACGGCGATCCCGCGGCAATCGATAACAATACGACTACCGCAGACAATCCGCAGTCTGACTTCTCGAAGACTCCCCCATATGGCCTGCTTCAACGTCCAGATGATGACCGTCGCTACCCGCGCGAAGAATAGACCCACCGAAAAAAGGCGTTTCACCCAGCGATTGCGCTGAGCTCTCCATAGCAGGACAGCTTGGGGGGGTCCTTCTCTCCGCAACAGGGATATCGCCATATCCTGTGCATTATTCACGTTCTCCTGCGAACATAGACTATGGCAAGGAGTCTAGAAGAAGCAATTCATACCAGTACGCAAGAAGAGGACGGACAAAAAGAAAGTAATGACAACGGGGAGTGCACGTGTGAGAGGAAATGGCGATGTACGCTCTGCTGGAGTGTAGAAACATGACGACGCACGGCTAAGGCCCCACTGGCAGCGACGAGGTGGTACAGTACCCGACGAAAACGAACACACGATGGAAAAAAAATTAACCAACGCACACAACAAGCCCGCAGCCCCTATTCCCGCATGGGGTGCCGCCGCACGTAACTTGTGCTGTTTCCCTTTGCGCACACAACGCATGCCGGCGGTATTATTACATAGGTAGGTGCTTGCTGCATGCCGTAAGAGTCAGTCGGAGAGGTGGCACCGGGCGGAGAGAAAACGGCGGTCGGGAAGATAGCATTGGTGGTGAGGAAAAACACAATAATAACGGTATGATTGGATTGTATACTTACGTAGACGGGGTCAATGAGATCGCACCCGGTGCGATCTCACCGACTCTCGGACAATCCTTGATTGAACTATTATTTCTGAGCTGCCGTAAAGAGGTACATCCCCCTTTCACATGTGCGGTGACGGTATCAGCGGAGCGCCACACTCCTTCATGTACGTATGTACGGTCGGCGCAGTTCTCGCGGGATTGTCTGTTGTTTGCTTGTTGTCGGTATGAAGTTTCAAAACGTAGACCACCCAACCAAGTATTTAGTAAGTACACAACGTACGAGTCGTAACTTACCCCCACCTTAGGCAAGGAAATCAAATAAATGTATGTATGTGCGCTGCTGCATGCGCACTGGTATTGTTCATTAGTTGTTGTTGTTGTTGTTGTTGTTGTTGAAGACCGAAATGAAAGGAGACAACGTGATACCGTATGTAGCGGTACCCCAGATGGAAACCACATCGTTTGTTGTCCTTGTCACGCCATAGACAAACTCGCATTCAATCCCATGGCTACTTACCAGCCAACGTTCTAGTACGGTACCGCACATCGTCTGCTTGTGAACACTGGTACCAATACTCAGTCGGGGAGATGGCACCGGGGTGCGTGCACGCAACACCGTCGTCGTAGCACGAGTAAAAAGGCCGCTGTGTGTACTTCAATGGGCATCGCACCGGTCGGAGAGATCTCACCAGGGTGCCGTGAAATGCAATGAGTTTTTTTGCATTTCCTCACAGGGTCGGAGGGATCGCATCGGTCGGAGGGATCGCACGGAGGTGCGACAAAAAACACGAAGAAAATACTGACGTGATCCAGGCGGCCGCTAACCCCCAAGAACTGGGGGCAGGGGTGAGGCGGGGCCTTCTGCGATGCCGGGAGCCAGGAGCGGCCGCATTTCGAGGTTGGCCAGAAGCTGGCTCTGTCTACTCTGTCGGGCATCGGGCATCGGGCATCGATGGGCATCGAGCACACAGTGTCGGGTCCCGAGAACCAGTTTGCCTGTCCAAAGGATCCGTTTCGCAGGCGGGATAGATATCATCTCATTCATGGGGGAGAGGCACCCACCCCTTTCGTGCGAAAAAGGCTTGAGTGTGGTTGCGTTTTTATCTGGAGTAGAAGTGCCAGCGTCCCAAACCTCAAAAGGAAGCTGCCCAGTCTTCATACAACCAGTATTGTGTTCCCACAAGAAAGATGATGCATGATGATCATCAACGACAGCAGCAGCAGCAGCAGCAGCAGCAGCAGCAGCAGCAAGCAGCAGCACCGCATTATTATTGTTTGTTCAACTATCTGTAGAGAAGAAGTGTTGTTCGTCACTTGCCGTAGTTTCCGTATAGTGTCAGCAACTACAGCGCGATGCCCCTGCTACTTCTCACCATACATAGTGACCTGTGCAGGGGTCTTGCCCCTGGGTCTGAACCGCTTGTCTTTGTATCAGGCATACTGGCGAGAGGGATCCACCCGCCCTCCCTTCAAAAAAGGGCAAAACATCCAACACCCGACAGATTGGCTTGGCGGCGGGGGGCACATGGATAGGATGCCCGACCCCCCCATATTTCGGCGAAGCGGGGGCGCACTGCACTGCCCAGCGAAACTTCGAGCAGCCTCCCCAGAGCAGAGACAACAGCACAGACTTGCAACACAACGGACAAGCGCAAGGGAGCCAGCACCTACGAGAGGTCGACAGAAACGGGGATCGGGGTATTGAGAGACTTGACTTCGCCAGGGTGCAGCAGAGTGCAGGGAGTGTGGTGCCCGCTCGTAGAATCAGCGACAGGACAAGCCGCGTTACCGTCGAAGGCCCAACAGCAGCATTTCAGCAGCGCCGTTTTTTTCAGCAGGAGATTGATTTTGCTCTGGCTGAAGGAAGCAGAGCAGAGCAAAGGCTGTGCTTGCCTTGCTGCTTGCTGTCGAGAAGCGCAGTGAGCATGCTGGACCAGTGGATACAGACCCTCCAGGCGGGAGACTGCCTTGCCGAGCGCGATCTAAAGAAGCTCTGCTTGATGGTGAGTCGAAACGCTGACAAGGCATGGGCGCCCGGTACGCCGCCTGCTGGGGGCAGTTACGCCGCCTCTGCTATTTGCTGATGTACCCATGGCATTTACGAGCTAAGAGCTGCTGTTGCAGTGCCCGCCGCACCGTGTTCCCTTGTCCTGGTGTGTACAGTAGTTTCCAGAGGGTGAGCTTGCCCATAGTGAGTACGCACGTGTGTTGCGTCCATCATGAAGTTACTCGAGGTTGCTGCAAGAGAGCACGCGATGGATGATGTTGCTGCGGAACGTCAGTAGCGCTGGGTGCGCAATCTATCCGGACCCCGTCTTTGTTTCTGTACGTTCAATGGGCGCACTGCAGGCGTTCGGCCACTGCAAGGGTTGTAGTCGAGCCTATGGCATATCAAACTCTCGCCCCACCTGATGTTGAACGATCTACATGTAGCCACACGTACCCCTTCATTCGGCTGGTACAATCGGTCTGCACTAGGAAAGAGGAGGCGAGAGCAAACCTCTGTCTTTGTATTGTCTTTTCTCTGTATTCTTCCCCAGAAGGAGGCTATGCATACTACAGCACGTGCCTCGCACTCGCACTGCTGCTGCTGCGTTGTGTCTCCCCGGCAAACTGGCAAATAACCGCAAATAACAACGCGGGCATGGGTGCACCAGGCAGCATGCCACAGCCGCAACGCGTGGGCGTCATGATAAACCCCGTTTTGGCAGGCGTGGATGCCCTTGGACTTGCTGACTCTCCCTCTGCAGTAGTTGCAGCTGCTGTTCTTGGGGGTCGCTCCCGGGTTGACGGGTATACTGCTGTACCGCGGCACTGTCTACCTACCAACAAGAATGCATGCCTACCTTGTTTCGCTGGGAAGATACAAGACTTGCTACCGTGCTTGTAGCATGTATCAGACGTAGTTTCTACCGTATGGCAGCAACCACAGCTACTGCCGTAGTCGCTTCGATCCGATTGCAGCGCTTGCCAAGCTCACCACGCAAATAACAAAAATCGAGACTTTGGCATGTACAGCATTACAATAGCACGACCTAACAACAGAGGCTTTCCACGGCTTCGTTGGCCTATGATAGCAGGGAAGTTCAATTTCATGGGGTACATTGTGTGGTACCACAGCAGCTCTGAGGCTTGCCAAGTGTGTAGGTTCCGGGAGGCGTATCTGCTGTCTGGGCGTATTGATAGGCTTCCCTGACTCGAAAAAGTCCAGCATAGTCCAGAAGTCAAACTTGACCGCCAGGATTTGAATTTCCAACACACCCCTTGGCACGGGGTGCAGTACAGCATTACACTGTTTATCTCGAACGGGTAGTCGGTAGTCTTTCTTTGCTTACAAGAGGTGTTACGATAGATGGAGGGATGAAGCATGGCATAGCCTTGCGCTGGGATCCGCACCGGGGGCGTTTGGTCTGTTCTCTACATGTAGTGGAGAACACGTACGGGGTTCCGCAGAACCAAGACAGCCTACAGTACCCAAGGCTTCAAAACTCGGCCTTTGCAGCGCGTGCAAGAGCTTTGGGTGACACAAGAAGGCAGTACAATAGTACCCTCGAGAGAGATAGTCTTGGGCACCGTATCCCGCCGAGTCGTAGACATGCTTCGTGCCTCAGGCCCGTTGGTGAGCGCTTGCACTGTGACTTTGACCTCCCCCACCCCCCCACCCCACAGGTTAAGGAGATCTTGATTGAGGAGAACAATGTCCAGCTGGTGAGATCGCCGGTGACGATTTGCGGGGACATCCACGGACAATTTTACGACCTGCTTGAGCTTCTTGCCATGGGTGGAAAAGTGCCAGACACTAGTTATATTTTTATGGTGAGAGGCAGGCGAAGGTGGTGGGGGCGGGCGGGTGGGTGGCATGAAGGAGGAGCTGAGAGAGAGAGGGAGAGAGGGTTGCGACGCATTTCAGCGAGAAGAGGCCGATTTTATAATATACGCCTGTGATTCGCCGTTGAGAGAGAGAGAGAGAGATCGGAGGGAGACATTAATGCAGGCGTTATGTGCCTATTGATGCAAGCCGCAACCCAACCCATAGGCCAGGGGGTACGCTAGGCCAGGCGACTATGCAACACGCAACACGTGGTAGTGGGGGGCGACGTGTGTACCCGACGTAGGATCGTTCCGTGTCCATGTCCCATGTCCCATGTCTCATGTCCGTTTTATTCATGTGCTTGCGGTTTACCGTTCTGGCTGTGTCTGTTGGGATTCCTGCAAAGGAGGACGTATGCTTGCGGTTTTTGCCGGGAGTTTTGCGGAGGAGGATGTATCAACCGTTTTACTACCCACCGTTGTTCCTTTATTCTTATGGCCTTTTTATTATCATGTGGTGCTTTCGCTTTTGAAGGGGGACTTTGTTGACCGAGGGCACAATAGCGTGGAGACGTTCCAACTGCTTATGGCCCTCAAGGCGAGATATCCAGACTGCATGACGCTGCTCAGGGGGAATCACGAGTCACGACAGATTACACAGGTTTGTGCGTCAACTGTAGTGCCGACGAAAGCTCTGGTGCTGCTACCGCATCCGTCGGTGCAATAAAAGCATGTTGGTTTTTACGTAGGGTACATGGCATAAGATATCACACCCCCTGGACCGATTTTCAAAGCTTGATGATGACAATCAGCAGCAGAAAGAGAGGCGGTACCGAAAATAATGGCGTTTGAACCGTCGCATCGAGAGCTTTCCGAAAATGTATGGTTTCGTGTAGACATGCTCCTCGTCGTGGAGTAATCGAGCTTTGAAAAAATGGCTATGGGGAAGGCGGGGATACCGTATTTCCCCTAAAATTGTTATTCTCGTGTTTTGTTTTGTTTTCTGTGTAGCCCCGTTCTCGCCACGTCGCAGCAGCGCCAGAAAAAAATGTGGGGTGGTCATGTTTTTGTTTTTTTACAAACCCAATATGACTTGGAGAACCGGTGGTTGGGCAAGATGCCTCCACGCACCGGCTGGACCGATATCGAAAGCTCCTGTACTCCACGACCAACAATATTCATCAATGAAATGATCAAATGATACATACATGTCCGGAAAGGTCTCAAGGAGATGACGGTTTGCCGCCATTTCGGCACGTTCACTGGTTCGCTGCAGAGAAATCGAGCTTCGTTCAAGGGTGTGTGGTGTCTTCCGCAACCTAGGGTAAGCAAGTATGGGAGTACATGTAGTTGAAAAGTCAAGATGCACCGCCACCAACCCCAACTCTATGCCCCTGCCTTGCCTGAGAGACCTCCCTCCTCCCTCCCCCTGCTCCTCCTCCTCCTCCTCCTCCTCCTGCCGTCCCTGCTTTGCGTGCGTGTGTCAGGTTTACGGTTTTTACGAGGAGTGTATGCGCAAGTACGGGAACGCGAACCCTTGGAAGTACTGCGTGGAGGTTTTCGATCACCTCAACCTCGCCGCTTTGGTGGACAACGAGGTGTTGTGCGTACATGGAGGCTTGTCTCCAGAAATCCGAACGATTGATCAGGTGAGATACACTAGCGGTGCTGGCTTGGGTTTTTCGCAGCAACCTTGACAGGTCTTTTCGTTTATGTAAACGTGTTGGATAAAGCATGCAGTCGGGGAAGTCGGGACAGGGGTAGGGGTAGGGGCAGGGAGTAGGGTCTGCGTACCCCCTCCCTGTTGTATTTCGTCATGAACTTGCTCTCTCGTCATATCGTATAGGATGTTTGCGCTTCGGTGGGTAATTGTTGTTGCCTGTATCGTTTCCGTTGTCGTTGTCGCTGTTCTTGTTGCTGTCGCCGTCAGCTGTGTTGTTGCTGTTCGGCTTTCGAGCGCTACGCTGAATCGGTGTTTTCCCGGTTAGATTCAGACGGGAACCCGTGAAGCTGGTTGAGACACAAAGATCTTCGTCCCGAATGATTGATGCAACTTGTAGAAGAAACGATAACACATAGGAGCCTGTTGCCCCTGCGGAAGTGCGTGTCATCCAATAGCCGCCAACGCCATTTGGAGTGACTCGATGAGTTTCAAGCTCTTAACGTGGCGTGGTCGGTGACCTTGTTGGGTGTATTTAGCCAGTTCCGTAGGCTGTGTGTGTGCGTGAAGCACCCCTACAGTAGCCCGGATCGCTTGCTTCATCACACCACCACCAAGCTCTCCCCGCTTAGCACACTGAACGCTTGGTTTTGATGCGAACGCCCGCCATTCTACATGCCACATGGTGCGTTTGGACCTCAGGTCGGAAACGTGGTCCGTGGTTCCCAGCCCACCGCGTAGTAACCAATTGACCGTCCCTCCTCCCGCCTTCCCATGCCCCCCCGCCCCCCCCCCCCTGTTTCGAACACCGTGCCACGGTGCGTATCGCGGCGCTTCACGTTGCCGCCATCGATGCGATGAATGGTGTATCAGATTCGCACGATAGAGCGCAACAAGGAAATTCCCCACGAGGGGGCGTTCTGCGACATGATGTGGTCGGACCCGGAAGAGATTAGGGACGCTTGGCTCATCAGCCCGAGGGGCGCGGGATACTTGTTCGGGTCGCGGGTGGCGGAGGAGTTCAACCACATGAACGGCCTCGACCTCATCTGCCGAGCGCATCAGGTTGGCATTTTAGTAGTAGAAGTTTATGTCGATATATATGTATATTTTTTGTGTGTGTTTGTTGTGCATGTAGCTTCGCGGCGTGGTTGTTTTTTGTACCGACCTGGCTCGTCTCCCAAATGGTGTACCGAGCTGATCGGTTTTGCGTTTTTTTTCTTTTTCGCTCATTTCCCTCGTCCTCGATTGATCACTTTTTCGTGAGGTTGATTTACTTTTTTGTGCCGACGGGAGATAGCGCTTGGTGGGGCGACCTATTCTGATGATGGCTACCTCATGTTTTTCCGATTGATCTGCATTACACACCCAAGGGCCACACCGTCTGCTGCGTGCTGCGTGAACTATGTCTGGGATGTACGGAGCCCATTTTCCATTTCGCGCACTTCGTTTTGGCGGAAAGCGACGTGTTCCCATTTCGATCATATCCGGAGCTCATTTTAACGTCGCGATTTCCCACCTCTCGCTTGTATTTTCCAACGTAAAAAAATACGTCCAACAACGTGGTATACTGGAAACGAGTGAGCAGCTCGTGATGGAGGGGTTCAAGTACCACTTTGCCAGCAAGAGCGTCGCCACGGTGTGGAGCGCTCCCAACTACTGCTATCGATGCGGCAACGTAGCTGCCATGCTGGCGCTCGACGAGAACCTTGGAAGGGACTTCAAGATATTCCACGAGGTACGTGTGTCATACAGTAGTCGTGACCTCACGTGACGTCTTGACACGCTTTTTGTGGGAAGTGTTTTCTTCTCCCCCCCCCCGTCGCGCTATGTTTTCGTGTTGCGGTGCTCCCTCATGTCGCCCCCGAAAACCTCTCATGTTGTCTCCACCCTCTTTGTTTGTTTTTCGGTTGCCGGAGGGGGCAAGGTTTTTATCTTCCTATGTTGTGCGTGTAGGAGGGGGGGGGGGTTAGTGTGTCTTTGGTTGACGTTAACCGCGATCACCGGCTGACTCCATGCAAGAGACAGCTTTGTTGCCACGAAGCGGGACTAGAAACACCGACCGACCCCATGCAAAAGACGACTGTGTTGCCATGCAGCAGGACTAGAATGACGAAAACGGTTTTCTTTCTTTCTAGTCCGCGGGCTCCCCCAACACGGGGGTACGCGGACGAGAGGTTTGGGCCCGTCACCTCTTTTCTTTGGCTCTCATACTTTGAGAGTCATCCTTTGAGAGTATTCATTGCGCCCCTTTTTGTGATGGTCGTGTCACGTACGCTGCGGAGACCGACACATCCGGCACGCAAAGGCCAAATATTTCAACACGTTTGTTCACCATGCGTATCCCCAACTGTTGCTGATTCCTCTTCTTAAACCCATACCGTGAAGGCGTAATCTTCCTCCTTTTGGTGGAGCGTTAAGGGTTCCCTTCAAGAACTTGCTGATGGCTCTTCGCACACCCTCGCCTTGCCTGGGTGCCTTGCCTGGGTGCAATCTCTTCGTGCCGTGCTGCCCGCCAACTGTGTGTGTGTATGCAGGTCGAAGAGTCATCGTACAAGGCGCAACAACGACAAGCAGTGGTCCCGTACTTCCTTTAGCCCCTGCCCGTTCTCTACCCCCTCCCCCGCAGGAGAGGGTAGTAGGAAGTAAATACCACCTTGTTTCAGTTTTATCCATTTTTTTATTTTTATTTTCACGGCTGCTCGTCGGCGTTGGAGGGCAGGCAGCTGGCTTGGCTTGGCTTGGCTTGTCGCTGTCGTTGTTCGCGTTTCGGAGGTACCTGGCCGTATGTATGCATAGCCATGCCGATATTGAGCAGCGAGTCAACAGCGCAGCTGGTGCTAATGCTATGCCTGCGGGGATTTCTGGGTTGCTCTTCTGATGGTAATACCGACAGCGCCTGCGTGGCTTTCTGCTGCAGTGGGTTTCTGCGTGATGCTCTCTGCCGCTGCTTCTTGCTGTGTTCGGCGCTGCTTGGCGAGGAGTTTCCGCGGGTTGGCTACTATTTATGTACGGTCTGGTGCTGGTGCTCCGCCGGCGCTACACACTATGCTGCCGTTGCGGATGGTAGGACCCCGTTTTTTCCGCCGCCGCTTTCTCTGCCGCCGACCGCCTACCTCTGCTTGCCATTTTTCCGTCTACAACGGCATCGGGGCGTGTGCGGGGTGCAGATCCGGCCGGCTGTCGGTGTAAGGTTGGGCCGATCGTTGTAGTGACATGCCCAGACCTTGGCTGGATTGGATTCCGTTGGTGTTGGTATGCCTGTTTCTGTATAGACTCCATGCCGCATGCCGGCCGAGCGGCTAAGAGTATCTAAATAGGCCGATTTTGACGAGATTGGCCGTTTTTTGTGCTACCGGAGCAGCAGGCGTACTTGGCAGGCTAAGACTGTTAAATTTAGCATTTTACTGTGGGCACGCTGTTGTTGTATGGTTATGTTGCCGGGGGGGGGGGGGTCGACATTCGTTCCACTGCTGTTTCCCGTCCTGCTACAGTAGTAGTCGTCGGAATTTTTTTATCTCCCTCGAACAGGCGGATGCAGTGTATGTGCCAAAGACGCGTGATATTGACTCTGGGTGTACGAAACTTCCCTACGATTTTTTTTGGGGCATCGATTCGAAGAGGTGCCCGCGCGACAGCCCACCGCCGCTGTAGCTCGTGGGCATGTGGCCTGTGATACGTTCGGGAGAGGTCGTCTTTGATCGTTGGAAGCTTCTACTTAACTGTATGTATGTTGACCATACAATCGTAGATCGATCTTCCCATGTGGAGCGCGCGAGAGAGAGTAGTTCATGGAGGAAAAAGAGCCTCATCTGCTTATGCTGCTGCTGGCCTGAGTGCTTCTGTGTCAACTATGGTGACGAGCAGGTCACCTTTGCTGCACCACAGCAGCATTCTCACATGGAGATATTTGAGGTTGGATTCCGAGCCGCACTTACTCGCAAGCAGCTTCGGCATTGGATGCCGAAATGACCCCCCGACAGCCATGGACTGATATGTATCCGCCATGGTGCATAGAGGTTGATTCCTACGGCCAGCACCGTCGTAAAATGCTCGATGGGTCGCCAAGTCATCCGCCATCGGCCTTACTCCCTCGACCCTCGACGTAGAGGCGGGGAACCTAGTATACACAACGGCTGTGCGCAATCAGCCAAGAGCAAGTACAGTAGCAGATTCGGTACAGAAGGAAAAACAACTCGACACTAATGTTCTCAGTCATAGGAGTGCGCGGACATGCGCTCCTCACTTGTTTGCCCCTGCTGCCTGTACTTTACAAGTGCTGTGTACGCACTGCCCTCTTGAACGACACGGACACGACACACACGAACGTTCGAGATCACAGAAATTGTTTCCTATCAACGCATGTATCCACATAACATGTCCACATTCATGACTCACGGGCAACGGAGCAGCGCTGGGAACAACGCCGTTCGCATACAGAAAGGGCTAGAGCGGGGAAGCGAGAGAGACAAACTGACAGACAGATACAACAGACAGCGGTAGCGCGCGATAACCCACCCAACTGCTGTGGTAGGCAATCATCAGGCAAATAATTATTCTCAATACAACGTCAACGGGAAAGCTTTCGATTGGCCAAAACCAACAGCACGGGTTTGTTGTTTTGCGTTGCTCTCTCTCTCTCTCTCTCTCTCTCTCTCTCTCTCTCTCTCTCTCTCTCTCTCTCTGCTTCTGCCCTCTGCTGGCCAAAACCAAGTCCGGCTCCCGACTCCCCGCAAATACGCAAATACGCACGCCACTACGCGCTGTGTAGTAACTTGTACGACCCTCCCCTCCCCAGGGCTGCTCTGTGGCAACGCCCCACAGCAGCAGCAGCAGTGGTGTCCAGCGCAAGGCACGTTCTCTCGTCGCTGCCGCTGAATCGGTTAGCTCTCTTGTCTCAACTCTGGTGCGATACAACACACGGCGGGACAATAGCTCACGGGACGACTGACGTCGGTAATAGTAGGCTGTGGCGCAGCGCGATGCAGCAGTTCGGCGAGCGAGAGGCCGTCCTGGCGCTAGCCATCGCCCTGCCTCTAGGCGCGCTGGTGCTCGGGTTCTGCAAAGGTAGGGACTCACGCATCCAAGTGTAAGTGTTGCGTTTGTTGAACGAGATCCTCTGATCTGGCGTGTGTGTCTACCGATCGATGTTGGTAACAGCGCACTTTACTGCATTCGGACCTACACAGCCAGCAGCGTTCACAGCAGGGTTGGCTGCCGAGCAGTCAGGTGTCTGTGGAAGGAACGTTGATCTTTCGAGAAGTACTGGGTAGTAGTAGCGAAGTAGTTTGTTCTTCAACCCCCCATGTGGCTGTTTTCCGTGGTTCAATAAACGCACCTGCCACATCATCGGCGAGAAGACATGAGTTCATCCGCGTATTTCATGGCCACAGCAAAGTATACTGCTGTAGTTCAATAAACACGAAAAAAACCTCCTTGCTGCCACCACAGCAGTGTGGGTCTACCATTAGCCTTTTTTCTGTTCCGAACGATGTGGATATAATTTACCTACAGTACCGCAGCGCTCCAATGGATCCCACACGGCTATAGGATATCGAAAGAGTTTGCACTCACTACCGTCTGTCTGCTGCTGCGGCGAGTAGACGGCGCGAAAGCATCGTGGAGTGCCAGTTGGGAGCGCGGAAAAATAGGTAGGTGTGCTGGGAAATTGATGCCGGAACATGCGCACGTGCAAGGAAAGCCTCTGCAAGGGATATGTGGAAGGGGTTGACATGGACTTCTAGCGTGTCTCTTTTTGACGTTTGACGCGAAGGAGAAAACGGCCTCATCACGGCAGAATGGTTTCTGTTAAAATGGTCGGAGAGTTGGCGTTTGTCCAATGTCAAAACTTCTTGTTTGTGTTTGACCGCTGCCAACTTCCCGAGTTGGCTTGCGCAGCATATATAGGTGCAGTAGTTGTTTCCCCTGCGGGTGCCCTCTCCAACAAGCGAGTGCGAAGAATCTTCCGCCGGCCAAACTACATCATTCGTGCGGTAGGCGCGTTGCTTCAGATAGCCTATTGTAGGACGGTGTGGTATATCTTTGAACCCGAAACCAAACCGCTACCGCAGTGCTAGTCTACAAACTACGAGGATTCCGAATTACTCCGTGTGAACATGACATGTGTTCCACAACGCGACACATACCGACCTGTGCTGTAGCATGTAGAAGAACAGAGGAAATGGAAAATCAATCTGTTGTCTCGATCATGCATTGAAAGCTTCGCCTACTTAGAAAGTACACATTGTCTCACAGAAAGACCACCCGTTCGAGGACAATACCACAGTATTGCAGTCGAAGGGGATGTGTTGAAGTCTAAAGTTACAGTGAGTGGGAATAAATCGGCTGGATACTGGGCTTATTTAGGGTCTGTTTAAGCCTATACACTGACATTTTATCAGTGATGCCAGCAAGTGCTAATCACAAAGGCACTGCTGTAATTCTTTTTTCCGGAGGGCGGTACATACAGTACAGCAAGCCCCCGAGGCTCACTTTCTTATTTGGTCACAACCGTCGAGCATGGACGGATAGGTCATTATATAGAGTTTAGTGTAGGATGCACGGCTGAGGTAGGTAGGTTCGTTTCTTAGTCGATTTTTTCTTGTTTATCGCTTTATCGCCAAAAGCTGAGCCTGCCTTTGTTTCTTGATCTCGGGCGCTATCTATACGCATCACATGCACGCACATGTATGTACAAATAGTCGAATATACGACGTCCTTCGGGCCCTTCCAATTTTATTTTTCCGTCGAGCAGCGCACACGGCGAAGTCGGTTCCTCCATCCTCATCATACTTGCAGTAGTAGTAGAATAGGGGCGTCGAACACACACCGGGGACCAGTGATCTGATGGAAATTGACATTGGTCGAAATAATCTTCCGATAACTCAATCAGTCACCGAGGAGATTGAATCACCTCTTTGCTTTCTCGATTATGTTCTATCTCTCCCCCCCCCCCCTCTCAATCCATCCGCGGAAGAACCCCCTTTCTTCATCTGCGGAACCCCACAACACAAGAAGCTCTCTCTCCGTCATTTTGTGTTTTTGTGTTTGTTGTGGAGCGCGAGCACCGTGACCTTATGCGCAGTATGATAGCTGCAACGATGCATCGCGCAACAGCAGTCCTGCACGAATGGATGTCGCACGACCGACTCGGAACCCGGCGTGTGTGTTCGTTCGGTGTTGGCCGACAAAAAAAATGTGTAAAGGATCAACAGCCACTCCGCGCTTCGAGCTGAATACTTGTAGTACATGACGAACACATACATGCGGCGTCTAGAAGGGCTCCCAGGGGGGGTTGGTTGGTTGGTTGGTTGGCATATTTCGGTCGCCTCGGCCAACGCGATTAAGATCACAATCGATCGACCACACGCAGTGTCGGGAGCAAAAGCTACATTCCTGCTATCGCCTTTGTCTCATCGTATGCTATGCTTAGGGGCGTGAAGCTCCCCTGCGGTATTTATTTATTCATTTCTCCTTTTTTTGGGCTAGCTTTCGCTTGCTGCATCGTCACCCTCGTTGTCGGGGTTGAGCGATTGATGGTGTCCATGTCCTTCTTTTCTTCCTTGTGCTGCAAGGGAGGCGATCACGGTCGAGGGGGAGGTCAATGAGCTTTGGCAGCGGCTACATGTCCATCGGGAGCTGGCCGCAGGACGTCAAGATGAGCGATCCTATCATTACCGCGTTCATGTGAGCCAGCCTTGCCGCACACACACGTGCTGTCAAATCTCGAGATCTCCGAGATCTCCTATTGTCGTCCTACATGTAGCCACGGGGCTGGGAGACAACCTCGGATTCGTTTGCACGTTCAGAGACTCTCGATGCGCACTCTCCCCTCCAGAAGCTCGTCGACCATCTCCCCAAATACGTTGTTCAGGCCTTGCTTTTCCTGCCTTGACTAGATCGAGTGTCTACTCACTAATTTTTTTCTTCAATTCAGTATTTTGTTGAAGCAACAAAACAAAAAAATGACTGATGATAATTGTGTTTAGTTTTAGAGTAAATGTTATTC